TTACCCTTTACTAACTCCTCCTGATATGCTGCCTACACTCCCTACCTAGCCATTTTAGAGACTCGATTATTCTAATGCCCTGCACGTGAGGCTGCCCTTGAAGGTAATTGGGAGTGTCAATAGGAATGGAATGCAGCCACCAAAGTTCTAAGGGGAATCAAACGATCAGAAGGAATGGAATGCAGCCACCAAAGTTCTAATAGGAATCAAATGATCAGAATTAGAGATGGGGACGAATCACCAAAATGGGGCTTAATCTTGGTTCACGGGTTAGAGATGGGGACGAAGCACCAAAATGGGGCTTAATCTTGGTTCGCGGGTTATCAAACTTGACAACCCACGAACCACAAATTGCCCCCAGTGGCCCGACAAACCACAAATCAATTCATTGTTTTGACCAGTCTTTTTTTTTTTTTTTTTAGACAACCCCTGGGATTCTCTTTTTAAAAAAGCCCTGGCATCCACAGTCATTTTTATGCTGCCCAGCATAGCAAGAGGGAGAAAGGGATCAAGGGCAGCATTGACAACCCACGAACCACAAATTGCCCCCAGTGGCGCGACAAACCACAAATCGATTCATTGTTTTGACCAATTTTTATTTGTTTTTTTTAAGACAACCCCTGGGATTCTCTTTTTTAAAAAAGCCCTGGAACCCACAGTCATTCTTATGCTGCCCAGCATACCAAGAGGGAGAAAGGGATCAAGGGCAGCGGGGCTGGGGGATCACTATGCGGGACATAGGAAGAGTGGAAAGCCCGACCCAAGCCATCCCCCAGCCCCAGGGGTGGGATTCCCTTTGGGCAAGCCTTAGCAAGCCACCCAAAGGGAAAAAAACCCTCTCTGCTTATGCCCCCAAGGAGCAGCTGATCCATGGGGGCATAAGTAGATAGGGAATGAAGGGACGAATATAAAAGGGTTATATCTGTTGCTTCCTATTCATCGGGGTCTCTGCACTCCAAGAACATGAAGCAATAAATATCTGATGAATCAGGGATATTCGTTGAATATCCTGATTCATTTTTATATAACTCATTTCAAGGTGCTGGCATTGACATTTACAAGATATTACCTGGCTTGGGGCTAAAGTATCTTTCGCACTGTCTTCTTCTGTACTAATGGAACCACCTTTGCATTCCCTTGCCGTCTATAGTGTGATGGGTGGGACTTCACAGGTATGGTGCTGAATTGTGAAACAGCTTGCCTAAGGAGGTATATTTGGCTCATTCAGTGATGTTGCTGAAGATTTTAATATCCTTTTGCTTGGTTATATTGAGGATTTTGAGCGTTATGAATTGCAATTGTTTTATTGTGAGGTGTTTTTTGAACATGTCACTGCAGGGGTGGCTTATAGGCCAGGGATGTGTACAGCCTGCACCTCCACATTTCAGGATTCCCCCTCTCCAATCATGAGTCAGCCTCACTTCAGTGTAAAAAAATCACCAAGATAGGCACTGAAATCAATCAGTCAGTCAGTCAACCAACCAAATGTCACTCCTTTAAGATGAAGTTTCCTACTGAAACATATACTGTGGTGGTTTGAGTTCAGCTCTCCATTGGGCTTTCTTGATAGGGGCTGGACTTGATGGGTTCCTTCCAGCTCTGCAATTCGATGATGATGATGATGATGATGATGATGATGATGATGATGATGATGATGATATACTTTAAACAAATGAAAGGGTGTCTTTATGGACTTTTGTGACTTTCAAAAATGATGCAAACATTGAAGATGCATAATCAAATCGAAATAAGTAATCATAATAATTTTAATAAAGTATAATAATAATCAAATACTTCTGGGGGACATCTTGGGACTGTGCGGCTTACACATGACTACACAGACTGGATCTTCTCCCTGAAGAAACAGTGGGGAATCTAATTCCCAACCTCTGGCTCTGCAGCCAGATATCTAAAGCACTGATGGTTGTGTATTCTCTTGCATGTTATATTTCCAAAACCTAAAAAACTGCCATCTTAAGCACACTTGACTAGGAGAATGTACCACTGAAATCAATGGAATTCACCTCTCAGTTAGTATGTATAAGGATCCGGCTGAGAGAGGAAGATTTTTTTTTCTTGATCAAACTTCCACTTTGTCAAACTTACATATCCTTCTTGATCGGAGATTAGAGAGAAAGGCAATTAATATTTCCCCCTCTAAGCCTAATGTGGTAACAGAATGAATTTCTCTTGTCCGCTGCATGATAGAAAATCAACTGGAAACATGAACACTCTGCATAATGTAGTAGTATGATCTGTGAAATATTTCATTTCTATGCCATGATTGTGAAGTTCTTTTTCTCTTGGCATAATACATACACGGCACAGATATAAAACATTAAGTGATGAGACTAATTTTTAATAAATCCATTAACTTCACACCAGAGCAGAACAATGTCTTCAAAGCCAGTGAGGGTGGGTTTTTCCTCTTTTTCTTCTTCTTTTTTTAATCAAAGGTATAGAGTAAGAAATTTGTTTGAGATCAAATGCATTCAACTGCATAAAAAGGATTGTGAGAGCGATGTATTAAGGCATTACATTTAAAACATCAAGAGCTAGGGGGGAAAAATAAGAGGGAAGAACTGGTGGTGCTTTTAAGTGGCAAATGTTAGGAGGGTTCTGTGCAGCACAGGTGAGACTAGGGATGGTGTCAGAGATCAGAAAGTGGGAAATCTGCTTCCTCCAAAGCCCTTGATAGGTCATAGTGAAAGGGAATAAGGAAGGGACATTTTGGGGGTTGATTTTAAGTCTTTTGCCCCCATTTGTTGCAGCAAAAAAGGAAGGCAGGGGACACTTCTAGGGCCCTGCTGGGGAATGGACTAGCAGTGGAGCCTATGGCTAGTACACCCTTCTTTGTCACACAATATCCTAGGATGAAAGGCAAGTCAAAAACACATTATCTTAAAAATTCATTCACAGGGCAATCCTGTTGTTGTGTAGGAATGCTCTGAGGTGGGTGCACTGAAGCAATTCCGATGCTTTGGAGGCTGGAGCATGTGTGGAGCTGGGATCCTGCCAAGAAGACAGAAGTGCCAAGGAAATAGTGTTTGGCACATGTGTGTGAGTGTGTATGTGAGCCCACTCTTCTGCCACTGTAATCAACGGGAAGGAAATCATTTAGGCCACCTCCAAGGATCCTGGAAATATTCTCCCGGGATGAAAGCATGGCTGTTTTAAAATCCCATGTATTCTTTCCAACAAAGATGGTGATTAAGGAGGAAAACTAATTCCCACCGTAAACTGCAAGTAAATTAAAAAGAGGGATTGGAAAGGGCCTTGAGTAGCACTCTGCAAGAGTTGAATGGCTGTCTATCTACCTCAGGCGTGGGCTGATGATGGTTAATAGTCAGTCACTCAGGGTTCCTACTATCCAAGCTGGAGCAATGCATTGCATAGAGTCGAATGAGATGCCCCTGCTACTTGAAGGAAATGCCTCACACATTCTGTGGTGGTAGCTGGCAAATCCAGTCTATCTACCTCAGGCGTGGGCTGATGATGATCACATAGTCAGTCACTCAGGGTTTCTACTATCCAAGCTGGAGCAAATCCTTGCATAGAGTCGAATGAGATGCCCCTCCCACTTGAAGGAAGTGCCTCACACATTCTGTGGTGGCAGCTGACAAATCTAACTTGGAAACCATCTCACTGGCAGCAGCTATTTTCACATAACAACAACAACAACATTCCTTCAAGTTGATTCTGATTTATGGCAATCTTTTCCAGGATTTCCTGGGTATAGACCACTCCATTTGTGGCTTACCATTTTCTTCTGAGGTCTGGGACTGTGCAGCTTGCCCAAGGCCACATAGGCTGGCTCTTCTCCTAGAAAGCACAGTAAGGAATCACACTCCCAGCACAGCCACCTACCACATCTCACTAACTACCCAGCAACTGCTCTCACATGTATGTATGTATGTGTGTGTGTTATGTGACATCGTCACATCTGATTTGTGCAGCAACCCTAATGTGGTTTTCAAGGTAAGTGTGACATTTAAAGTATGATTTTTACCAGTACCAACCCATGCCCCTGTGAGCAGGAATTTGAACGCAGGTCTACACAGTCCAAATTGGTCATTCTATCCACAACACTACACTGGGTATTGCTTTCACATACCTAAGAAAAAATTAATATAGTTCCAAATTACCCCTAGGGGATGAATGACACTTTTCAGGGATAAATTCAAGCAGGTGTCCACAGCAGACATATCTCAAGGACATTTTTATTTGTAGGTGTGCCAAATATATTTCTAATAATTTTTGTTCACTTCCTGAGCCCCTCTAAAAATGACAAAGTATGTTTGAATGGGAACCCCAGAAGAACAGGTGACGAATGCGTGATACAGAGGGGCTGATCAACAACTTGACTTCTCTAGTTCTCTGAAAACGTATTGTCTCAGTGCAGCTTGACTTGAATCCAAGTTCTCCAAACATACCGCTTTATGTCAATTGGGACTACATGCCCCCAGACCAAGGATGATCCTATCTTTGCTTCATGTCCTCAGCTGCTGCAGAAAAATGTCAAAATTTTATGCAGCTAGTTTTGTTCTTTTTGTAGTTTGCAACAGTATTTCTCTTCACCCTGGACTGGGATGGGCAAAGTGCCGCTCGGAGGTTTGTACAGCCCCAAGGCCTGTCTCTGCAGACCTTGCACCCCAGAGCCCCTCCAATCTACTTGCAAAAAAGGAGGAGGTTGTCCCTAGCATACACGCACAAACACACACACACAGAGAGAGAGAGAGAGAGAGAAGTGAATTGCCATTCTGATGCCTCTAGGAGTTGCTATTCACCTTTAAATCAATCACAGGGTCCTTTTACACCATTTAATACTCAAAAACATTTTTTTCCATCCAAACCCAATGGAATTTCATTCATTTATGGTTTTGTCCTCCTGCACCGCACATACAAATCTATGCAGGACCCACTGAAGCTGCCCACTCCAAGTATTTTGTTTCCATCAATCTCATAAGTGTGCCATCCTAACAATTTTCAACCAGGTTGTCGTCCTTCTGTCATCATGGCTGGTGGTCATTCAGTCTGAAACATCTAAAACAGAAATGATCAGAAGAGGAAAGCTTGTGGGAACTGATTTGGAGAAGATCAACAAGATCTGCTGACTTCCAGTGTAACAATAATAAGACCAAGAAGGTCCCCCAGCTCCAAAATTATGTTACTAAATAAAAATACTTGGGTGGAGGGGGTTTTTGTGTCTGTGTGCATACGTGTATGTGAGAAAAGATTTGTGTGTGTTTTTCTCGTACCTATTCCTTAATTCATAGCAAATATCCTCTGACGTGAGCCACTATTTTGCACCCGGCTCAGGCGGGAGAATTTCACACTTCAGGTATAAAACAAAGTGGATCCTGCAAGCCTGAAATACACATTTGCATTTAAAATCCCATGGAGATTATAAGGCGAACACACTCACATATGCGTACATGCCAATACCTCGCATCAATATTCAGCTCTTAACAAATGTGCATTAAAGGAAGTGGCAAAGCATTTTACCTGGAGTAATGCAACAGGGTTATCATTCAACTGTCATTGCTCAGTAGACAGTTGTCAATAAAATTACTGATAAATCATGAATCTAAGCCCATGGGGCACCATAAACACACACGGTAATTGAAGTATGGCCATTTACTGGCATTTCTATCAAATCAAAATGCCTTAACTGGATATGTTTTGCAGATCTATGCCTTTATCTCCCATTTTCGGATGGCGCTTTGATGCAAGAAGTTCTTACAAACCTGCCTTGGAGACCCTAAGATTTTTCCATTGAATGTTTCTAAAATGGGGATAGCAACAGGAATCAAATCAGAAAGTCAGAAGCTGATTGTTTCCCTGCTAATAAAATGGCTACCACTGAGGATAGTTCTCTTCTCAATCTGATATCTAATAAAAACTTTGCATTGCAGCTAAGCTAAAGTTAATCAGATCTCATCATCTTTATTCCAAAACTCCAGAAGCTCCAGCCACATACAGTGCTGCTTAATTGAGATGTTAAATTGGGTAGTGGTTATCTGTGTTTGCAAATTAATCCATTATGAATTGCACGTCGCTCTCCCCCACTTTCTGCCATTGTTATCATGGATTTTATTAACCCAGTCTTTGCTAAGCATAAACCAGGGCGCCGAAGGAAGATTTTTGCTGCTAGGCTAGGGGACTCTATAGGCATTATAAAATATTAAGCAGCAGAAAACCTGGTGGTTCCAGAAGGAAAGGAAAGGAAATGCACTAAACATTTTAAGATGTCTTTATCTTTGGAAAAAAGAGCTGGGTGTCTAGTATTCCAAATGAGGCAAGGTTCTTGCCCTTTGGAATCACTACCAATAAGTTAATGAGCAAAGTACTAATCTTCTTAGAGATATTTAGGAACCTTTTTAGAAGCAACTAATAATGTGACTCCAAAATTCCTCTTACATCATTTTACTTTGAATTCTAAATGACTTCTCAGCATCCACATTTGCCGGGGAATTATGACAAAGGTTTCCAAATATAAGGGATATGATCATATTGGAATCTACATCAGAAAAACTGCCTGAAGTTTTGTAGCAATGTTGTCATCTGCTCTATTTTTCAGAAGGTATGTGTGACTGACTAAATCTATAGCATTTATAGTGCTGTTCTATAGTAAAACTGTCTTGGGTGACATGTCTCCATCAGACAGAGCTGTGGAATATGTTTAAGATGCTATGGTGCCAGTAGAATATCTGTGCTTATTTTAATGCTAGGCTAAAATTATAGCAGCATTTCATGTAATGCCTGACAAGAACTACCCTGCTATCATTTTACAATAGAACATTTTTACAACTATGTGGCTCCCAGAAATGGTGGGTGGTGGAATTATTTCAGTCTACATTTTCATATGGACCATCCTAATTCAATGTTTTCACATGAGTAAGGAATACTTTCCAAAAAGGTAGCCCGTGCTAGCATCTCAGGCAAAAACAAAAGCAAAATAAAAAATTAAGAAGACGAAAACGTTGTGACAACTTAGAGACTAACTGCTATATTTTAATGTGAGCTTTCATGGACAAGTGGTCTGAGGAAGTGTACTCGTCCACAAAAACTCACATTAAAATATAGCAGGTCGTCTTTAAGGTGGCATAATGTTTTTGTCTTTTTTATTTTTATTTTGTTTTTGCCTGATCTAGAATAGTTTCAACATCCTTCAATTCCTGAGCTTCTCCAAATTTTGCCAGGCAGTTCTTGGATAGGAGAAGCACATCCATTCAACAACATGACAACACATTTATATATTGAGGGAAACCATGTACAAGAAATGTGTGTATGCATGCATCTGTCTGCCTGTCTGTCCTATTGCAGGAGTGATCTTCTGCTCCTTTAGCGTAAGAGTTCATCCTAACAAATGAATCATGGTTTATACTTTTTAAGCCAATTTCATCACATCCATATCCATTAATTATTTTCTGTTGGCAGGTTTTTTGTTTGTTTATACATGAAATTTACATCCTGCCTTTCTTCCAGTGAGTCAAAGATAGCATGTATGGTTCTTGTATCTATCTTGCAAGAATTTGTGACTTTTGGTAAGTTCTTACAAAAAAAATAAATGGAAACAAAATGTTCATCCATCCCCACTACAGTGCAATGATTAGCTTGCTAATAACCAATTATATGCATGTAATTGTACAAGTAAATATTGTAACAAAACTTTGGTTTTGTGATTAATATTACATGTTAGCTATCCCTACTCATAGTCTAGACATAACTATTATATCTATGGAAGTTAATGAGATATTTGAAAGATTGGCCAGCAAATTTTTTATTCATTTTTAACAAACCCAGTTTTTTTTCTCTTCAAGATCTATTGATTCCTTTTTGCATGCAACCATAATCTGCACTTCTGGCTACATATAAGTTTCAAGTTTTGTACCTGCATTTTCCTGCCTCCCTCTCAATCTGCCTCGCTGTTTGACAAATTCAGGATGCACTACCAAGCCACTTAATTGCCATAATCAATATGAGACCAGCTTAGTAACTGTAATTAAAATGGTGTGGTCAATAAACAATGTGAGCCTGAAACACGAAGGACTGCATAACTGAGAGAAAACATGTAATTAAAATGAGCTATGTAGTCTTCATGGGAGATAGGCCAGCCTAATTATAATGGATGAGTGTTTGACTTTAGAAGCAGACAAATAATTTGTAATGAATATTTTACCTGTGGAGAATAGATTCTATCTCTTTTGCACAGTTCCGAGTGAAAGGCATGAAGGGAAATTCACGATGCTCAAACATGGTAGAAGCATGGCAAGCAAACGCACCTTCTGCCATTCCTATTGTAAAAGACAGGAAGGGCTGACCTGTACAATAGGCAGAGGCAAAAAGTAGGTCAAGATTAGCTGGTGGGGCTCAGCATGGTCTGCAGAAGGTCAACAACGACTCCAGGTTATCATGAAGAAGAAACATGGTTTTTCACTTTTGCTCTCCTTTTCTCACCAGTGTGGCCTACAGTCCAGGAAGAGAGGAAAACATATCTTCCATGGAAGGGGTGAATCTGCTCCCAACATGCATCAAACACAGACCACTGATGCGATTTGTTTGTCTACAGAGAGTCCAGAGAAGGTGGGAGAGGGGGAATGGTTTGTGCTACCTGCCCCATATGCAAGCAGAAATATTGATTGGTTGCCTTCAGCCAGAACATGTTGCAGTTTGGCTGCGCATGTGGATTAGAATCACTTGCCTCTAGTAGCTCAGAATGAATTTATACTTGTGTTTTAGGATGGAGAGGTAATGGACTCCATGCCTTGAGCTCCCATTTTGTCTCTGGTTCCAGCACAAAACCATCCACTAATGTGCCCTTACTCCAATTGGTGGACCTCAGAGGTCCAAAGGCATTGGAAATGGAAGGTGAACATGGCCTTAGGATGGCACCAGAGTACATTAGCAGTACTATGCCAAGTGTCTGGTGCTTGCCCAGAATCTGGGCACATTGTTTCATCATAGTGGACTCCTTTACAACAGTTGGGATCTGCTCCTCTTACTTTTTCATTCACCACTTCCAAATTTCAGCTGGTCTCTCTCCCTTGGACTTAAATTCCATAGTTTAGGTTTGAACAAACAGATGAGAGACACCACCTCTTTAAAGACCCTGTCCATATTCAATCTGTAGTGATGGAAGATGAGAGAAAAAATTACATTTCATACTTTGCAAAATATCCCAGCTAGCATGGGGTATTCTGGGCACTGTAATCCAAGTTATCTACATATCTGTAAAGACAGGCAGATATCTATAAAGACAAGTATGCTCACCTAGGGGTCACTACAAAGCAGACCCTTCCCGCTCTGTTGCATGCTATTGTGCAAATGCACAAGTAGCAAAGTAGTAGAATCAAGCTTAATTGTGTATTTCCTAACTCACTGAACACATGGATAGTATGGATGGGCTTTTTGTGTAAATATGAACAAAATTGAAAGAGGGACTTTTTTCATTTTGTGTTCTTCCATCAATCTCGAAATAGCTTTTTAAGCTACTGTATTTGTACTGTATTAGTGAAAAAAGGAAAAATGAAAGTTCCATGCTTTTTGTATTTCTTTTGTTGTTTAACCTTTCACTCTTTTTCTGTCAATTTTTTCATCCAATAGCATAGTCAAGAATTTTTAATTTATTAAAGGGCCTGGATTGATTTGAAGCTAGTGGTGCTTCTGTTTTGTTTTGTTTTTAATTTACAAACACCTCAATATGTACCTGAGAGAAAGGCATAAATTACAAAGTTTTGAGGCTTAATTAGGCCATGCTCTGCCCAAACACACTCTTCCTGCTCCATTGCTAGCTGGGAGCTTTCTTTCTGAAGACACTTAGGCAGAACTTGGCCTAACTAAGCTTGAACGCTTTCCAATGTAGGCCTTCCTGCCAGATGAGGTGTCTGTAACGTGCCTGTAAGGTAGGTAGAACTCCAAAAATAGAGAGCTATGACAATAGTAGTCCAGAAAAAAAACAGAAATCCTATCCCTAGAACACAGAAAGATTTCCTATCTTGCAACTGGGGAAAATATTTGGGCTGATGGAGCAAGAAAAAAAAAAACAGAGTCAAGAGGAGTTTTCATTCTCTTGGGCATCCTCCTCAATACCATTTCTTCTCCCTGACTGCAAGAACACATCTTTGTATAAGTGAATCAAGGGTGGGGGTGGATAGGATCCTATGTCAGTAATGGCTGTGATTTGTATGTTTCCAAAAGGTACTTTTTCAGTGACACTGGAACAAAGGAATGGAGCCTTCTGGCTGGAGAGAATTAGAATATAGACTGGTACAGTTTATTTGAACTCAAGCATTTACATCTCATTCTGCTCATATGGGCAATAGGTTGCCAACTCTGAAAAGACAGTGGTATACAAGATCTACCAAACTTCATTCAAGCCATGCCTTGATGAGATGCATTCTAATGAGGGTCCTCCCCAGTTCACTGAAGCTTAATCCCTATTCAAAGGGGATTAGTATTCAAATTTATCATCAAATCAAGAGTGATTAGTGGCCTAACACATACAGTATGTCACTGAAGAGTCTTTGAAATCCCAAATGGTAAGCTCTTGTTTCAGTGTTTGGGTTAGACTGCTGTTGTCGTTGTGTGCGTATGTGTGTGTTATGTGGGGGGTTGTGTGGTTTTTTTGAAAGAAAAATCATAATATATTCTGACACTTAGTCGACTAGCCTTTGAGCTTATTTTGATTTTCCATATGACATGACTAGCATGCACATTTATGGCAGAAATGTTGCTCTTTCTTGTGAGAGAGACGGAAGGCTGGCTTTGGACTGTGCCACTTAGCAGCTGTATGCTAATGACTCAAAAAAGTTCTACACATCCTCCCTTGGGAGCTGGGTTGTCTCCAGTCCTTCGTTTCTCAAGAAGTTGCTAATGGGACACTTCATAAGAAAGGGCTGGTTTTTCAAAGAAGGTCCATGATGACAGAGTTTGATGGAAGGTGACCTGCTTGTAATTTATTACCAAGATGGAGCTGTCTTTAGAGAGATGCTCCTTATCTAATAGATTGAATGAGTGTTCCTCAAGGAAGGAATAGAAGAAATAGATGACAGAACTATTGGATTTTCAACATGGTCTTCAGGCTTGAAATGGGGCTGAAAACATTCTGACAACTTTAAACTTAATAGCACTTGAGGATGTAAAAGCGTACCATAATTCAAATTCTACTCATCATGTCTATTCTTAAACTTGTATTTCCAAAGGCAGAAGTTGAAAATGGTTAATATTTTAGGATTTCATAAGACTTTGAGAGGAGTGATAGCTACAACTCTCTGTCCTCGGCCCCATTGGGAAAAAAAACTTTAAAATATAAAAAATGAGAGTGGCTTATGACTGCTTCACCCCAAAATGTTTGGGTGAGGTTCCCCCATGTCCTGGCCCATGAGTTGTCCATGAGTTGGAGGTGAATCCTAGTGCTTAAGAATGCCAGAATTTGCGCTCTCATTATCCCTCTGTAATTAGGTAAATAGACTTTGGTAATGTCCTGCTCCTGGGATTCTCGGGGAGGGGGGGCATGCAGACCACCAAAACTGAAACCAAACTCAAAAATGATATCAGAAGTGGCTAGATGACCATTGCTGTCACTGTGCTTCAGCAGCTTCAGAAATGGTGGGAATTTTCGGCACTCTTTCACTCTGAACATGAAAATATTCATCTGCTAAATAGGGCTATCAAGTTGTCGTTAAAGACTTGGCTACAGAGACCAGTGGAAAGTTGACAACCATGTGGATGCCTCATGTGAGCCATTTATATAATCAGATGTATGTGGAAAGCTGTTGTGTGAATGGTATATGGGAATGATTCCTATACCTATTGTTTGAACATTACTTGGAAAAAAATACATTTAAAGATTACATGTTCTAGAATCCCTTAGCCAGCAGAAGGATTCTGGGCATTGTAATACTTTTTCTAAACTTTGCTTTCAAGAATGGTAACAGATTCTGAAAGAATAGCAGGGAACACATGTATGCATACACTCAAACATACATACTCATGGGGATGTCCTGAATAACCTTCCCCTCCTCATCTGTCATCCTCCCCATGTAAATCGTGACACCAACATCCCCACCACCACCACAGAACAGCCAGTTAGAGTGGATTGTCAGAAGCCTTGTTTTCACGAGTAGCTGGAGCACAGAGATGTGCACATTTAGGAGGAGGGTGGAATGTTTTGAGGCTATTTTCTATCCATGTTTCTCTTGTTTGCTTCTTGGTAGCCTAAAGATACACATTTTAAAAACTCAAACTTCTTAAAGATAGAAACAAATGAAGAATGATGGTTTGTGTAGAGCATCCTTTTTAATGTCTATTTTGGTTTTGGAGGAAGAACAGCATTCAGAGGGAAAGCAAGGGTACACAATTAGAAATTAGCAAAGTCAAAATCCCCAATCCTATTAATCTGCCAATCAATTTGGAAAGCTTTCCCTCCCACTTTACTTTTTCCTAATTACACCTCTACAGTTCTCTGCAAAAAGCCCACACAGTTCAAGCTGTGTGCCAGCTCCTTGTGTAAATAATATGGGCTTACCTTACAGATGCCTTACATTTAGTCTGCATACATTACTTAAGCCTTGGTAATATTACCTCATGTAGACTCCGCAGCTGGCTGTGCTACTGTGAGAGTAGTTATGGATTATACTGCTCCTGTCTCCTGACCAGGTATTAATAGAGTTCTCCTCAGCAACTCACTAGTGATTAATGAGATGAGAAGATAAAATACTCCACCTGCTGCAGCAGCCATGAAAACTGAATTAATGAGAGCAAACAAAAAAAGAAAGAAAAAAGAAACGGTAAGAAAAGAGAGGAGGCCTTGGTGTGTAATGCAAGGCAGACCCACTGCTTATTTACTACAGAGTCTAATGATGCTATTTACGAATGAGTTAGTGCTTTCTAGATTAGTATGGTAGGAGGCAGCCAATCCAGGGGAAAATTATACATTACGATAATAATTACAGTGTTCCATAAAAATGCTTATCTATCGTCAAGACTGTAATCTTAGGAGAAACACCTTCTCCTCATTACTCCATTATGGATCTTTCGTAAGTGCAGTAATTTAGCTGTGGAAATACACACTGGAGTAAATGCTGTGAAGGGAGGTTTGCACACTGAGCATAATGAGAGCACAGACTTTTCCAGCTTGAGTTTATGAGATGGAAAAGAAAGATTTTACACGGCAGCAGGATTCTTGCTTAGAGCAGAGGTTCACACCAAGAAAAACCATTTAGGGTGTGGCAGGTACTTCTTAAAAAGCTGAATCCAGCAAAGGGAGATTATTTCAATTTTTTTCTGCACTTAAAGCTTCCACAAGGTCTTTTCATCTTAGCTCTTCCATTCTCCCTCAGTAGCACTGGCCAATTTCAACAGGTACAGTAAATTCCAGCACTGTGCAGTATCTGCATGCTTATATAGGTGTTCAAGACAGGAACATCTCCAAAGGAGATCTGGCAATCCAAGTTCAAAACTAAAATGGTTGAACACATTGGCCAAAATCCAATTAATAAATTTTAAAATGCTCATGGAAGGACAAATGCCCAGTAGTTTTCCCCCTTTCTCTGTCATCCTGTGTGCAACTGGTCATGTGACTAGGCATATGCCTTATTTTGTAACAGGCATGTGGCTGGTTTTGTGAAGGATAGCCTGCTGAAGAGACTCTTACACCGGCAGGATTCTGCTCATTCATGTTCAAACACAGGAATAAATTAAATTGTTCCTCCCAAGAAGAGCAGAAGCATTGAATGAACTGGACCTGTTAAGTCAACGTTTATTTAAGTCCTATCTGTATCATAGGTTGATGTGTTGGAGGCTAACCATTCAAGTTCACTGCCAGACTTTTAAGAGTTAAGTGCTCAAATCTCTAAGCTTGGATGAATGAATCAGACAGTTATGGTTTCTCTCATATTTGAATCAATTTCAAGTTATTTCCATCCTAAATATTTGGGGTGCGGGTGAAGGTGGAGTGAATTCTGCTAAAACAAGCTGGCACAACAAATTTTGCTAACCAACATCCACAAGAGGTCTCAATATTGTTCAGATTTGCTTGGAGTGTCTGACATTTTTCTGAACTTCCCAGAATTTGCTTCATTTTTCAATGGGATGTTTCTGTTTTCTTTGATACCTAGTGATAGTTTCAAGTACTTTTAAATGACGGTATTGCTTCCCTTGTTCTGTGTTTTTCATTATATACAGATAAGAATAATCTGGTCTTCAAAATCAAATACATTATAAGGAACAAATAAGATGAAGCTATCATGGAATCTACCTTTTTATTTAACTAAAATAAAAATCCTATATGTTTTTTTTATTTTAACAAGGTTACAAGTTATTGTATTTTTCCATCTATATATAAGATGCTACTTTTTCCTAAAATCATTACCCTAAAAATTAAGGGGTGTCTTTTACACAGAAGTAAGCTGAGATAGCTAAAGAGAACAAACCGGCACGTAGCTTGCCTCTCTAAACAGTCTTGCTTCAACCAGGAGGCTTAGTTTCCTACAGTCAGGAGATTTAGCTACCTCCAACCATGAGCCTTATGGAACTGATGTCAGCTGACCCTGAACAAACCAATTGGAGCACACCTCCTTGGAGGTGGAGCCTGTAGCCTCAAGATTCAACAAAGACAAGTGTCTGACATTCTGAGCCCAGAGGCAGAATCCTCAAATATAGGTTTTCATAATTTTTTGGTTAGAAAATTGGGGGGGTGTCTTATAAATGGGGGTGTTATAAACGGAAAAATACGGTAATACACGTTTTTGCTATTAAAGCTCAAAACATCTCCATGAACATGCTATGTATTTTTCTAATATTATTTCATGCTTGGGCAACTTAACACCATAGCACAGAGAAACGATGCACATATTAGCAAAGTAAAAGATAACAACTAGCGATGGGGATATTCGTATATGAATACGAATACCCATGCACAGCTGGAGTTAACAAGTGTCCACTCACTTATCCACCAGCAGCAGCAGCAGCCCGGCTCTTCCTTCCAATCACTCCGGAGCGCCCAGTCAGCTAGCCACTCCTGGCAAAAGGAGGGAAGATGAGCCTCCTTGCAAGGCTGACAAGTGGCTAGCCAACCAGGCGCTTCGGGGTGATTAGAAGGAAGAGCAGGGCTGCCACTTCTGCCAGTGGAACATGAATGGACTGCCAGTTAACTGTGCAGGGATATTCATATTTGGATAGGAATACCTCCATCTCTAATAACAACACAAATTGTAAGGTGTGTACGACAGAAACTTCTGGATATCCCTGTCTGCAAATTGCAGTGTTAAGTCTGCTCTGAATGACAGCCTTCTCTCCATTGCCATGTCCAAGAAACTTTTGGTGATAGGGTGGGAGGACAGTGTGCTTCCCTGATATAAGAGGAGCGACAGGGGATGACTACTTTGCATGCATTTTCATGTAGGCCAATGTCAGGGGCAAAGAAAGGAGGACTTGTAAGACTTCCCTGACTTGATGTTAGCTTCTTCCTCATGCTGCTCATTGTTGGGAAAGGGTGATGAGGCAGGAGAGAGGAGCAATATGGCCTCTACACACGTCAAGGTTGGGGCCTAGGCTCAGCAGGGAGGAGTCATCGTACAGCATGCCCATGGTAGTGGCGGACTGAGTGGGTGTCCAAGAGGGCACATTTCTTGCCAGAAATGGGTATTTAGGTGATGGTGCATCAATGCAGTTCTGAGGTTTGGGGGCTGTTTCATGCCAACCTGGACAGTGTTTAGGGGGTGTTTCAAACTCTGATGGGGTGTGTCTTTCTGATCAGAGCAATGGTATTTCTGTTAGACCAGAGTGGCCTTAGGAGCATGCACGAAAGGAACTGAGCCTTCAGTTATCTCTGTTGCAGAGGCAAGTAGGACAGGAAGTTCAAGGCAGTAGAGCTGAGCTCTATGGGGGACATTTAGGTGATGGGTGTGTGTGAAAAGATGGGCCTGAAGGGTTATGAGATTTAAGGGTGGGCCAGGGGGCAACTTTATGGGTGACATGGGCCGTGATGACTAATGTAGATTCCTAGGGATGAGAGAGAAAATAAGGTGGGGAGGGGTCCCCAAAGGAGACCAGCCGGTGTCATATTGTAGGCATACAACAAGAACCAGTGCTAGGGGCTCACCTTTCAAGGACAGGAGAGGTGGTCAAGGAGAAGGCTTGCTCTGTTCCAGGATCCACACTAGTCAAGAGGAACCACTGGAGGTTGCAGAAGGTGTTCAAAGAGTTAAACAAATAAAAGTGAGGCCCTAATTTATCCCCATCACAGTTATCTTGCCTCCTGATTCTAATCTGGAATAGGGAAATAGGGTTGGTCCTATTTCAGGCAATTATGTTAAAGATAACATTACAGCCACTTGAGATTGCTGAAAGTCAGTCCATGGAACATGCAGAAATCCTTATTGCCAACTTCCAGTTTGGTTTTAGGTCCATAATCAAGTGCAAACGACTTACCAAAGCCAAATTCAAATCATCACATTGGGGTGTCAATCAAAATGGGTGGCACTCGCAGAGCCCTTGTGAACAACAATGGCAATTTGTCATTTAAAATGGAGAGAAACCTCCATTGAAAGAAAATTGTTACCACTGGCTAATGATGAAATGTTAGAGGTAATGATAAACACAATTGTGTAAAGAAAAAGGCTGAGATTATCATGAAAGAGCACAACACAGAGCAAGGGGACCTGGGAGGTCTTTGCCCCCTTGAATGTTTTGGAGTGAAATTGCCTTCAGAAAGGTGCATCTTTTAAAATGTGCCCTTGCTCACTTGCATAGCCTAATCTTGCTCTCACTCTCTTGCAGATGGCTTTGTGTGCCCTCAAGCGAAGTCACCTGTTAGAGAACTTGAAAAAGCAGTGTTGACCTGGAAGCTAATTCTGAGTGGGCAACATGTACCCACCAACCCAGCCCCATTGTGTATGTGTGTGTTTTAAAGATAATCATACAAAAAACCACTTTTTTAAAAAAAAGGTAAAAACAATTAAAAGAGTAAAAAAAAAAACATACTGTGTGTTGAAACTGGCAGTAATATACTGGTTGTGAATCTCGTTAAAATAAAAGTGCCCAGTTTCTAGGAAAAGGAACACAAGGGAATTGTCTGATAAGTGTCAATAGGGGAAATGTCTCAGAATCGCAGCACCACTACAGAAAAGGCCCTGTTTAAACCACAGAAGAAACCAAGAAGTTGTTTAATACATTGCAATTGGTCTGGGGTTCCAAACTTCAAGAGGCCTTGATTACTCAACACAGATTGCTTATTTATTATATTACAAAAGGAGATAAGTGTTGTTCAGTAGTTTATTACAAATGCTTAAGTGGCCAAATGTCTCAAAAAAAACACAACAACCCACTTGTAATGATCACACAGATTTGCTCTGGATGGTAACAGACATTTTAACAGGTATTCACACTTTTAAACAATATATCAGCAAGCCTCTCCCATTCCCCCCTTCTTTAGTATATCAGAATCTCATTAGCCTGTTAATAAGCAGTTTTTTTTAAAAAAAACACTCACAGATTCTAAATGTAACTGTTATTTAAATGCATTTTAAATTGCTAAATTCATCCAGTGTAGAGGCATTTTAGTCCATGATAGATAATAAATTCTATATGTCAAATAGTCAGCTATCTAATTTATTAGTAAATAA